GAATGCAGTGGCATCATCATAGCTCACTGCAACCTGAAACTCCTGGGCTCAAGCGATCTTCCTGCCTCAGCCTCCTGAGGAGCTGGGACTAAAGGCGTATGCCACCACACTCAGCTAATTTTTTTTTTTTTCAGAGACGGAGGGGGAGGGTTCTCACTGTGTTGCTCAGGCTGGTCTCGAACTCCTGGACTCTTTTGACCTTCCTGACTCGGCCTCCCAAAGTGCTAAGATGATAGACATGAGCCACCGTGCCCGGCCAGCCTTGCTATTATTATTGTTGTTATTGTATCCTAAGACTGTTCAGAGAAGATCTGATGGCTTCAGAAATATATTCTTATTTTGACATTTGTCTTTTTCCAACTTGCGTTAATTATCTGTGGACATTTATAACCATCTCTTCTAGACTGTCCAAAGTCAAATCAGACATCTTTATATCCCAGGCAGTATTCTGCTCGGAACCTAATAAGTGCTCAATTAACATCCTTTTAGTTGAATCCACATTTCTCAAATGAGGTTTAGAGAGGTTAAAAGAATTGCCCAGGGCTAGTGTATCAGTTTCCTGTCAAGAATATTTAATGAACATTTAAGAAGGCTTTACTGCAGGGAATTAGTTACAAAGGTGTTGGAAGGGTTAAAGGAGTAAAAGGAGTTGGTGTGACTCAGACCCAAGGAAACTGCTATTATTCCAGGGGAGAGGGTGTTTGGCAATATCAGAAAGTTGCTGCCACCCAGAAACTGAAGCTCACAAGCCCTTACTACTGATATTACCTGGACCACTGCTGCCGCCACAGCTCCACAAGCAGAATGGCTTCTACCTTCTTCCTGCCTTCTAATCTAACATGACTGCCTCCTGTTGTCAGAACCCAGCTGGCAAAGGAGTCTGGGAAATGTGTTTTGTAGGCTTCCAGCCCTGGTGATATAACATGGAAGGTGAGTGTGGAGCTGAAGGTCAACAGACAGTATCTAGGATAGATGATGGGGCCAGTGCCGATTGCACTGAACCTCCTGCAGGGGGAGAGATCTGCAGGAGAGGAGCTAATCTCCATAACAGAACTTTTCAGCAGTCCCACCCCAGGAAGGAATTGATGAAGGAATTGTTTAGCTGCTGTCAGCCCTGACTCTCTTGGAATAGCACAGCCAGGTAGAGACAGAGTTCCCTAGTCCAAACAACAGTCCCCGAGGCCTCCTTTACATGAGAGCCTGGGGCTCCAACGTGAGTCATCATCTTTACTCAGAAGTTCATCAGAGAGAAAAGTGACAAATGGGAGCACAGCACATGCAGCAACTCCAGCCTACTGAGAGTGTAAGTTCAAATGATTTGAGAATTTGGACCTTAGTGAGCTTTTACTTTGCCCCCTTTCTAACATCTCTGAGATTGGGAAGGTCCACATTTATGGAGTGAATCTGGGCTGTGAAGAAAGCCAGATGTGATCTTGCACATATTTATTGAACAGAATTATCCAGTCTGGTTGTCTCCACACAGCTTTATCTCATCAGATAATGGTTAATGTTTTCCCTGACACTGCCCATATGGACATGGCTTTGTGGAACCAATTCTCTCTTGCTAAAACTGGGACAGGGAAAGCAGAACTAGCTATGATTGCCCTGGCATTGCAAGCCGAGGTGGTTTGCCCTCTCTGTGCTGCCTGCTGCCCCAGCCTTAAACACAAGCTATAGAGCCCAAAGAGATCATGACAGAGATTGCAGCAATATGTGACCAAGACAGCCCTATTCGTCTTTGGCATACACTACTTTTGAAATAAATGAATGAGAAGAGATCTAAATGCTCTACCCCTCTGACCAAAAATTTACCACTCTGGTTTGTCATGAGAGAAAAAAAGATGCATAAATTTACTTGGCAGTGTCTTTAGTCTATCTGGAATTGATTTTTGTATGTGGTGTGAGATAGGAGCCCAATTTACTTACTTTTTTCCTTTTACATACAGAGATCCAATTGTCTCAGACAATTTATTGAAAAATTCATCTTTTTTCACTGATCTGGTATACCACCTCTGCTATATGTCATGTCCCTGATTTGTGTAGGCCTAGTTCTAGGCTTTCTATTGTGTTCCATTGGTCTCTTTGTCTGTAGTACAGTACCATACTGCCTTAATTACTATACCTTTATGTTGACTTTTTATCTGGTAGGGCAGTTCTCCTTGCCTTTTTCTTCTTCAGGAGTAATTTAGATATTCTTGTCTATTTGCATTTCCATATAAATTTTGGAATCAGCTTCTCGGCTTCTACAAAATGTCTCTTTGGGTTTTGATTATGTTTGCATTGAATCTATGGATCACCTGGGGGAGAAATGCCATCTTTACAATTAGTCTTCTAACCCATGAAAATGGTATATTTCTCAATTCATTTTGATCTTTAATATCTCCTAATAAAGTTTTATAATTTTTTCCATAGAAAATCAAAACATTCTATTTTCTCTATTTTCCCCTGAAGTTGAGATATACTTCCTGTTCACCTTTACATTAATGGAATAAATTCTTTGGGTGAGGCCTCCATATTGTTTCATTCCAGAAGGCACCATTCACATTTTTAGTGAACATGTTGT